ATAAGACCGCGCATCAACATTGCACTGAGGCCTGTCAAAAGTTGTCTTGTCGTCTGAAATCAAAATAAAAAACTTTGCAATAGATTTTTGATACTGGATGATTTTGAATAAAAATCAAATTTAAGCTTATACAGAAATTTGACTGCGAAATAGATAAAAAATGAGATTTTAATAAGAATATATTTGAAAAAAAGAACTTTCTAATGAAAGTTGTTTGTGAACCACAATATTAATCACAAAATATTCTAAATAGCATGTTTTCAAGGAAACAAGAAAATTCTTTAACTCTTGGTGAAAAATTTTTGAAGATGAAACAATGGCCGCATTGTTGCTCCTATATTTCAAGCAATCCACATCCACAAATATGCAAATTCTATTATTATTTGAGTACGAAAAAGAAAAGTGAAAATGTCTTAGAAAAGATGATCAACAATACATAAGGATTATTCACATTATCGTTTACGTAATATGGCTGTGGCTGTTGATTTAATGACGAAACAATTGGTATACTTTTCTTGTTAAGTTTATTCATTGAAGACGACATCATTCACGGTTAAATTGAAGAAGACTTTTAAATAAATAAAGTCTGGTAAGAAACTAAAGTGAAATGAAATATGATATATGATTTGATTCAGAAGATGTAAACACAAACAATAAATAGTCGTTCTTCCACTTAATCTATACCGATTTCCGAAATCAGAAATTAGATCAATACGCTAATAATAAGATATGACCTCAGAAAGATTATTTTCTCACATTGAGCACTTTTCACAAAATGTTGTTTTCATTATTATGCAGCTTAAATCTATGTGTAAGTAAAATGGTAATAATTATGTATTAAAGACAATAACAAGTAAACATTAAATATCTACCAACGTTCTGAATATATAAGAATATCGATGAAATATTGACTTGCAAAGAAAAAATTTCAACTGTTCAATCAGTTCTTTTATCGACACACACTGTTATGTCCTACGTTTATATTAAGGGCACAATAGATCCATTCCAGCACAACATAAACTTTGTTTATTTCTTTTTTAGATGAACTGAACTTAATCATGTATAACATCACATATATATATGTATGTCAGCATAGAAAGAAAGGAGAGAGATGGACAAGTGCCATATATAGATGGCATGGCATAACATACGCATAGGTAAAATTGATTCATTACAATTTTGTTTGATTTATTTAACTCATACACTTAGAAGTTTCTTTTATCAGAATCTCACTTTTAACATGCTAGAGGATGAAGCAAAATTTCCGTATGAATTTCGTTTTTTGTTAGAAAAAGCAAAGTGTCTAATGAAAAAATATATAAAAGAATTTAATCATAAATGTTTCCCGAAGATTATTAATATCTTAGAAAAAAAAGGTATCAAGAAGCTCTTCTACAACTTCGATAACAATCTCTGTATCCAGAAATATTTGTTTGAACTTCTTATTATTATAGCTTTCGATGTTTTTCAGCATCACATATAAATAACTATTTATTACAGTGAAAATTTTCATGCGATAGTAAAATAAATAATCTAACGTACAAGAGACTTAACAACAAACAGTTTAATTAAAAGTTCAATTTGGTGCTGTTAACACGACAAAAGAATTTTATCTGAAGTGTGAGGATAGGTGTGGCTCCAGAAACCGCACACATTTATATTCACATGCACACCCATCTTCTTTGCCCATTAAATGAAGGTTTAGAAAAATAATAATGTTAATTAAAGACAAACAAAATACAAAAATGAAAAAAAAAACGAGCGAATAGCAATAGTTCAAACCAAGGAATAGGACATCCGTAAAAAAAGTTCTGCTCAAAATGCAGAAATAAATAAGAGAGATTCTTGCTGTGGTGATCGATTATCTTGGAAAAGAACTGTAGTCTACGCGAGATTTTTCACTTTACTTATTTTGTAGCAGTTTGATGAGGCTAAAGAACATACATGAGTTCCACATTTCAGTCCCAATGTGGCTGCGCTAACAAGTTTTTCTATTGAAATCTTTAACAGTTATATGATTAGCCGTAAAAATGTCGAAAGGGGAAAGGGTGTGGAAGCAGATAAATGCTACACCCACACCTAAGGTATAAAGGATATGTACATCCCTGATGAGCAATACTTTGTCAATGTTCTGATGTGTCACTTTTGCCTTGATAATATTCGAAATCGGTCTATTTCCGATCCTTATCTACTCTGCATCTTTGTGATATCCCAAAGAACATAAAGTCCTATGACTCGATATATATTTGTCATTCTAGGCGCTGGTCGGTGCATTTGATTACACTTTTGTCTGTAATTTCATTTACATCCAATAATCATACAGGAATTATGGCGAAGACTTACTATTCTTTTGATTGATGACTGTACATTGAAAAATTCATGCAAGCTCAACGCATCAGTCAAATGTGGAGCTTATGACACGTTGCTATTGAGATCTCATTCACTTTTCCCCGTATATGCAAGAAAATAATATGCACGGTAAAAAATCTATATCTCTGTTCTTAAGTGAAAGTGTTGACACATTTTCATTTGATTTTGGATACTGTTTCACTTGCATTTCCTATTGAAAAACACAAGAGTAATATCTTCTCTTTGTGAATGCTAAAAATTCCTGCTCACCATTCGTATTGATGGATTGAATTAGCGAAGTAAGACTGATTGATGATTCTTAATCCTGCCTCACAAACTATTCTATATTAGTTCTACACGAAAATAGGATTGAAATTTAGATTGAAGTGAGAGTCAGAACAAAAGAAAGGGCTCGGTGTGTGTATCATATGAGCAGTGTGACTGAATCAGACTATAGAGATAAGATATTCAGTTATTCAATATAGATGTCCAGTCATAAAAATACCTGCTTGTAGAATCATTCAATACGAGTCTTTTCTGATCTCAGGTACAAGTTCATGCAACGAAAGATACTTTGAAAAAGGAACAGAACCTGCTAGTGGCTGAAGAAGTAATGCATCAATTGAAGCTCGGTACAATGAGTATTATTTTATTATTTGCTTTGACACTTGGGATGCTGTTCGAAGATTGAAAAGCAGAGTCTCGATAAACTTTAAAATCATAATTTGGAATTGAAGATTTCCGATAAAAAAAATAAGCATAGATGGTCTATCGTTGTCAAATGGGATGAAGTCGAGAAAAGATCTATTGACTAAATCGATGACTAAAGATGGGAATAACTCGATCGAAATGAGACAAAGATCAAATGTATTGTTCACGCGAATCTGCATCATTACATTTCTTTAAACGATAAACTGATGATGAGCTCAGAGCAACGACACCATAAGCAAATGCATTACTACGGTGATAACCACCAATAAACTTTGTTTGATCTCTGTTTTAGTAACAATATTTGTTATAAAATTCTTTCTTCATCTATCGTACATTTTCGATAAATGGAAGGAAAAAATCAAATAAAATACGAAATTTCTCATTCAAATGACATCTGTTGTTATAATTTAAATCATTGCCGATGATCGTTGCTTTCTACTATGCAAGGCCTATCGATGCGTAACGAACATGAGCTAGAGTATTATGCTTGAAATGCAATTGAATCAAAGCATACACTGAGTGTGTGTGCGTCCTCTTTCACAATTTTTTTTGCTCTAAAAGAAGAATGAATATGTCTTTTAGATAAATATTGCAACGATGCTTTCGAATCAGCAAGAACAAATTCAACTGAAAGGCGAAGATATTTCACCAGCTAAAGACGGATGTAAACATCTAATGCCAATTTAGAAATAATGTACTTCACTGTTTTTTTCAATAGCTCAAGAACGGAAACAGTTAGAGAACTGCACTTTTCACCAATTAACCTTTCAAAGATCAGGTGGTAAGATTATGATACTACAATGATCTTATAATTTTATATCATGGCTATTTAGGCCATTAGATCATCTAGCAATCTACGCAAAGCCGATTTCTGTATCTGTTATAACTACAGGTTATCAATCACATTGAATGCCAATATGATATTTATTTTGTGTGAAGAACACTTCTTTAATAAATAAAACTATAGCATTCTATACCAAGTCTTTTACGAATATATGTGCAACCACGACATTATATGACAGACTATGTTCTAGAGAGTTTTTCATAGACTCTTTCAAAAAAAGAAACACGTGGTGGCTAAATGGAGATCAGTACACTGCTATTTAGAAGATGCAAGATAAATATCGTGCAAACATGCACATATTCAGTAAGTTTGAAAGAGTGTGAGAAAAACTCTGGAGAACATAAACTGTCATATAGTGTCGTGATTACATATATATTCGTGAAAGATTTGGCATAGAATGCTATAGTTTTATTTATTAAAGAAGTGTTCTTCACACAAAATAAATATAATTTTGGCATTCTATGTAATTGATAATCTGTACTTGCAGTTGTTCACAGAACCTTTATCACAGACCCTTAATTCTTTTATAGATTTGCGTCCCCCACCGTCCTCTATCAATTGGTAAAAAATGCAGATCTCTAGCTGTTTCCATTCTTTAGTCATTGGAAAAACAATGAGTACATTATATTTCTCAATAGATATTAGATCAATTTTATTGTCAAAGGTCTACTCAAAGAAATTATTCGTCAAAGTGCCGACGATGAAAGAGCAATGTTCGATGATACAGTCTTTATTCATTATATTGGAACTCTACTTGATGGGACGGTGTTCGAAAATACTCGAGATCGAAATGAAAAGGTTAGTTTCAATTTTGATAAAGGCGAGGTGATCAAAGCATGGGATATTGGTGTGGCGACCATGAAACGTGGAGAAATCTCACGATTCATTTCCAAACCCAAATATGCTTATGGTTTAAAAGGATTAGGCGACAAAGTCGGATCCGCCGTAACCGTCATCTTCGAAATCGAACTGCTCGATTGTGTAGGCAAGTCAAAGATTAGAACAATAATTATCTAGGATATTCGTTATTTAGGTAAAGATATTAGCGACGAGCGAGATCAAAGCATTGTACGACGAATATTAAGAAAAGGTGAAGGATTTGAGAAGCCAAATGAAGATGCCACTGTGCAAATTAATCTTAAGGGAACGCATCAAGGTCAAATATTCGACGAACGAACAGTCACTTTCATTGCTGGAGGAGGTTGTTTACAAAATGTTCCTTTAGGGTGAATTTTGAATTCGTTTAAGTGATTGATTTTCATCGAATACTTCATTATTTGCCTTTCTAGTGTTGAATGTGCCGTTTTCAGAATGACCAAAGGCGAACGTTGGAAATTATATTTAAAATCAAAAGCAACGCAAGGTGTAGAGAAGTTTCATATTCCATCTGATTTACCTGTCGAATACGAGGTTACGATGATCAAATTCGAAAGGGTGAGATAATTGAAAATCATTGTTATGACCAATGTTTAATTTGTTCTACAGGCTAAGGAGGATAAATTTTTGAGCGACGAACAAAAACTCAAACAATCAGAAATATTGAAACAACGTGGAGATGAATTCGTTAAAGTGTGTACGGGATTTCGATTCCTTTTTGACATGCCTATCTTTTTTGCTTATCAAAGGGTGGTCATTATGAACTTGCTATTAAAAAATACAAAACCGTTTATAACTACCTTCTATCGGCATCGTTAAGAAGTAGTAGTGACATAGAACAATCCAGGCAACTCAAATTTGCTTCGCAATCGAATTTGGCGTTGTGCTATTTGAAATTGGGCGATTATGGTCAATGTAAAAGAGCATGTGACAACGCTTTAATGTTCGATTCACAAAATGAAAAATGTCTCTTTCGTCGGGGTCAATGCCAATTGGCATGGGGTAATTTCCATCAAGCTATTCAAGATTTTGAAACTATTCTCAAATTAAATCCATCGAATGCTGTTGCAAAACAACAAATTCAAGCGTGTGAAGTCAAGAAAAAGGAATTGTACAATTCTACTCGTAAAACAGCGGTTAAGGAGGATACCATGGACAAGGTCAGAAACATATCTCATCGAATAGTATCATAAAAACATTTCTTTTTTTGTTCTAGAGTGACGAGACTAAGATAAGTTTGAAAAAGAACGAAAAATCGACTGAATCCACTTGATTGTCGGACTCATTTATCTCGTTCGTTCAGCTTTTAATGTCGACTTGAACATAAAATCATCGAGCCGTTCTTATATGCAACTGATTTTTTCGTTTATTTGTATTTTCTTGCTTTCAATGTTTGTAACAGTTCAACATTCTAGACAGAGGCAGTCTATCTACTATATCATTAGGTAGCTTCAGTTTCAAAATAGAAGTCCGATTGTCATTTTTCTAATAATTTCTCATAGGAGATCAGATCAATATTCATTGGATATATTGTGAACGTTTTTCTGAAACAAATTTTGGGTATACTTAGGTTATTCAATGAAACTATTCGATAGAAAAACGTGCTCGCTTTCGATTATGAAAGTGTAGATGACAGTGACTTTGAAAAACATAATTCAATTAAATGAAATGTTTTCGACGACTAAATTATTATTATTAAGAAAATGATGTAAAGGGTGTGGGTGGATAAATGAGCACACTCGCACCGATCCACACCCAGCTGCTGATACTGCAACTGAAAGTTCAAGTGTACACAGAATCGTATCGCTATCCGTCATTTTCCAAAATTCAACTATCACTATGGCACAACTTGAAACTTACGTTAGTACTTTTCATGCAACCAACAGGGATGGAGAGTGAATGTGGAGATATAGGTGTCGATGTGGGGTGTAAATGGGTGGATCATTGTAGTCCAGTAAGTCACCCCCACACACCCAATCCGAAGTCCATTTCGGATTTCTGTCATATTTTTCTATATATTATGAGAAATTATATAAACCATGCCTCGATTTACGTATATGAATGAATTGTAACATTATCGTATCATTATATTTTAATATGTAAAGCCTTAATATCTTGAATTGTTTTCAAATTAAGTTCTCCTGATAAGTCATCACTAAATACATAGGGTTGCCAGATCAAAATCTTAGAAATCGGAATTTTTTTGCTTGAACTCGGAAAAATTCAGAAAAATATCTGGCTAATTCGGAAAAAAATTCGGAAAGTCGTTTTTAAGCTTTCACTGCCTGTAACCAAGATGAAAATTCTTTATCTAATGTCCAATCCTTTT